TCCTCTTTGACAGTGTCGCGGTAGTACTTTTCACCTTCGCTGACTTGTGTAAGTGTATTGTCTTTGCGGCCGTCAAAATACAGCCCATATACAGAGTCAACACTTTCGGTGTTTTGGAGCTTAACTCCAACACTTTTTTTTGCCCGACTAATCTTGCATTTGTCATTGATAAAGCTAAAGCTAGCYTGATCCTCTGTTATCAAACCTGCTTTTTTGGCATCCAGAATCCACAATCAAGGCTGCTGCTCTATCACTTACTCCAAATCTTTGGGCAGCTAAAGCAGTGTGTTCTAATATTAGTGTGTTTTGTTTGGTTTTAGAGGATGGAAGAGAAAATTCATCATCAGCATCGTTTTTGGAAGAATCCATATGCGACGCACCTACATTGTTGAATGGTCACGTATTCTAGCTGATACTTTTCTGGTAAGTGTTGACGTTGAATGACGTTTTAAAAGCTTTTCCTTACGTTCATTTTTCTTTGTAATTTTTTTTTGTTTCAGGTAGATCAACACTTCCAATGCGACCAATTCTTCTGGTTCTCTGGTCCAAGAGAAATGGTTGTTCATTGATAGGAACTTTCCTTTCCTTTGGACAAGTGCAAGAAGAAAAATACATGCATTTACAAGCAGCGATGTCAAATAATGTAGGTGAATGAATGTAAGTGATCGCACTCGGCGAAATCAACGTCAAGAAGTGTGGCCGCAAGCCGATTTTCACTTTGCGATGTGGCGCGCCGCATTTTCGGTCGTATCTCGGGAACGGTTCGTCCTAGGACCATGATCACATATACCATTTCGGTAGCAAATGACGTGACAAATAACTTTTGTTTTATACATTTTGCCATGAGATGCGTACTTCAAGCACCAGATAGAATTTCCGAAATTTCAAGGTCGGAGTTGGGGTTGAAGATGCAATCCGATCTCAAAACAAAAAGTTGCATTGGAATCAGGAAGTACTAAGGCAACTTTTCCGCACTATTAAAAATCATTGATTATTCATTGGTGCTTGATTTGTATGCTGGAAGTGAAATCATCAGATGGAATTTAAAGTTCAGTTATAAGGGAAGTAAGCGTGGTTCTCGTTGATTTCGCTCTTTTGGGTACTGTTACATAGGAATCTCAAAAGCGTATTAAATAGCAAATTTAATTAAAACTGACTGGTAGACCAGCTACAGCTACATGGAAGGAAAATAATCGACATCACCCTGTTGATATGGAGAACATATTGAAAAATATTTTCCGAAGACATATTGACAGGGTCAAAGTGGGTATTTTTTCCGAAGTAGAGGAGACCGATTATCACAAAATTCAGCAACTACTTCTAAGCATGTTTTCTTGCAACAGCAAGTTGCAATTCATAAAATGTACAAAAAGAGCAACAGAAATTATACTAGAAGAAGATCTGCTTAAAAAAATTTCACTTTACCATAGTAATAAGTCAATGCATAGCAGAATAAACGAGACTTACAATACATTTAAGGATAAAATATACTATCCAAAATTAAGGCAAATAATTATAGGTAATTGCGAAAACTGCAAGCAAATTAAATAGGACAGGAAACCCATAAAGCCGAAATTCAAACTAACTAAGACACCTTCAGATAAAAATAGAATAATACATGTGGACATTTTTCATTTTACAAAGCAGTCATTTGTCACAGTAATTGATAAACCAACAAAATTTGCAGCAGCATACAATATAACTGACAGAAATTGGAGAGTAAAGAAGGCCATCAATTGAACATTTCGCGAAATTTGGAAAACCAAAGAAAATCATCATGGACAACGAATTCAGGGACGAACAGTTGATTCAGTTCTTAAATACAGAAGGAGTCGAAGTACACTTAATAAAACTAAACTCACGTACAGGTAATGCAGACAATGAGAGGCTGCACTCAACCCTGTTAGAAAAACTAATTGAGGATCCAAGCCTCTCAACAGGAATGAGGATACTGATAGGTAACTATAATGATCGCTATCACTCAACCATAAAATGTACACCCAATAGTGCTAGAAATAGTACTGATCCAACCATTTTAAAAAACACAATAGACCAGAAGAAACAACTCATAATATATAATAGAAATAGGTACAGAGAGGACTACAAAGAACAGAGACCAACGGGGCAGATAAAAAATTATAAAAGAGTAAGACACAAGAACGAACCATATTTCCGAATCACACTACATATTATACATCCGAAAGAGCTAGCAAGTTTGGTGGAGGAAATGGAAGAAAACATAAGACGAGCAGACCTAAGTAACAAGCCACTTATTTTTAACGAAATTAAAGAGGGAAGAAAAAATAGAGGTTTAATTAATTTAGGAGGGGCAATGTATAAATGGTTGTTCGGGGTAATGGACGAGAAGGACCGATAGGATATAATAGGGCAATTCAGAGTCTGGTGCATCTGAGTTTGCAAAATTATGCAATTGCAAATATTTACCATCAACAGTGAACGTCTTTTTTGTGATTTCTATGCAACCCTTGCAAATGCCATTAATTCACAGCTGATCGGTGAAGAAAAACATTGTTTGTGATCAAAATTGTCTCACAAATTGGAAAATATGCCGAAAAAAAGGGTGTAGCAGGTGCATCGCTGTACATTTTGTTAGTGTAAAAGCAAAAATATGCTCGCTCATTTGCAATTGCGAATATACAAGACCATTTGCACCAGATTCTGAATAGCCCTAATTAGTTATTTAGAAGTAATAGAGGGAAATTCGCACAATACAATTACAAATGTCAATAAGCAGATCATCGTAAATGAGCATTTTAACGATTCAATTAATTTAATGAAAACAATAGTAAAAAATGACAATATTAAAAGAGTTAAATCAGATAGAAAAAGAAATTGGTTCTTTACAATGATGAAATGATTACATGAAATAAAAAGTACTATAGCCGCCGCTAAAAACAGTTTAATACACCCGGGGGTGTTAACTAAAGAGGAAATAGATAGCTTTGACATAGATTTTTATAAGCTGAAACTAGCCACAGCAGGATTAGTAGCTTTCAAAAATGAAACACTTGTGTTCTCTATACAAATACCAAAATAGATTTTTTAAGGTATATATGTACGTAAAATTAATTATGCCTCAATCAAACAAGCGAAAATTGCAAATAGCTTAAGAGGATGCAAAAATAGTAACAATAAATAAAAAACTAAAATTATGTAGGTTTTCTTTTTTTAACGCTTGTGAATTTAAATATAACAATAATACCAGAAATAAGTGATGATACTTTAATCATCAAGAATGCAAATAATTTGAGACTTATACAAAATTGTGAGGACAGAAATTTTATACTACAAAATAATGATACAATAAATTTTGCGAAATGTGAAAATAAAATGAACGAAGAAAAATTTAGTAACAACAAAACTAAATTTATTGGTAAGCTAATACATACTGTTAAAATGTTAAACCATACCTATGAGTCAAAAATAAACTTCGACGAGTGTACTAAATGATTTTAAGAATATTAAAGAAATAGAAGAGCTAAAGTATCACAAAAGTGTGTCTTATGGCATAACCGCCTCATTAAAAATAATACTCGTATAATAATACTAATAAGTATAATTATTCTTATTATTTACTTATATAAACAAAAAAGTTAAAAAATTTGTTTGAAAATTAATAATTTTGGGGTCGCCATATACCCAATAGGATTTCATTTGATGATTTAAAATTCACAACAACTGAAAATAATTTTTGTTTTTGGCGGTAGATATCCAATAGGGTGTGATGAAACAACGGAATATTCCCCAAAAAATTAAAACTTATAAAATTTTTATCTCTGCGGCGTGGGAGATTTTAGGTTGAAAGGTTTCATCATCCAAAATTTATATAAATAAGCCTATATCTAACCCAATTAGTTTTAGGTGATATAAACAACCGTTGGGTAAACAAAACTGTTGTACTCTTCAGCAACATGATTCAAGAGTAAGGAAAAGAGTAGTTTAACCCTGTGGATTTAATTAGTAATTACGATCTATTCAGCAGAATTACTTATTTCGCAACGCACATAGGACTTATACATTTATTTCTTATTGATACCGACCGTGGTATGACACCATTTTATATAATAGTATAAACTACTCACCAAAAGTATTTTCTGTTAAAAATTGTAAAAGGTGAAGATCAAGAAGAGGTTGGTTCGTTGCTGACTGTCCGCTGGATAATTCCTTTTGCGCGCTTAATGCAGCAGCCGCGGCAGCAATAGCTGCATCATTTCTAATATGTGAAATTGACCTATTCTTATGTCCAATATCCAAAACATTTTCTTGTTTGTTGTTATATCCAGTAGAAGAGCTATTTAAATTCAATCGACATGCAGTTAAATCTTCCGGATCATCATCAGATTCGATATTCGTGTCATAAGTTTCTGTATTATGTTGTGTATTATAGCTGTAATCCATACCTCTTATACTAGCCGTATTGGCAGGCGATGCATGGTCACGTAAGTCATCCGGTGAAATATTTACCCCTGCCTTAGCTAATAAACGCGAAGCCAATATAGGGTCAAAAGCACAAGGCATTGGTAGCACAGGAAGATCTTTCGTAGATATACCACGGTGCTGACGTGACATATGTGAATGCAACGAATTACGAGATTTCGCAACAGTACCACATAAAACGCATCTATACCCAGGACAAACGGTATGCTTATCCTCAAGATGAGTTCGCAACGTATGTGCCGACCTGTAAATTTTTCCACATTTTGGACATGGTCGTGGATCTGTGGCTCTTACTCTCATTTCCACTGAACGCTGGGAGCCTGAATAAAAATCATATATAAGTACTTTATATTTCTTGAAACTAGTAATACATATTGCACATAAAACAAAATATTTTAATAAATTTAAATAAGAACAAGTAAGGAACAGCAGAGTTCGGGTATAACCGAACATTTTATCCTCTTGCAATTTGCTATATTATATTGGCCGATATACAAATTATGCGGTATATAATCGTTCGTAAAGTTCGAAAAACTTTATATTAGGTAAATGGGGTCAAAGGGAATTATTGACCCGTTACAACCCATTTGTAATGCGCAGATATACTACCATCAGGATATGATGATGATTCCCTATGAATTTCAATTATGAACACATTGACCAATATTTTCGGTCAAAAGTCACTTACATATAAGCCCTGAGGTCCACGTATTCAGTACCTGAGGGCATAAGCAGTTGTGGTTCGATGTGGGCAACTGTTAATCATAAAATGACGCATCTTATTTTTTCCTGCCATATTAATTGAATTATATATTGGAAAGTGAAAGTTTCAAATGGTATTTAAAACCGTGTTATATGGGAAGCAGGTGGATCTAGTCCGATTTCGCTTTTACTGTAACATAAAGACATTAGAGGAATGTCACGTACAGAATTTGGTTAAAATCGGTAGAGCGGATCTCGAGATATGTGATTTCACCTAAAAGTGGGCGGATCCACGCCCATATTCCAATTAAAACTACTCGATTAGTTTTACGATTGCATTAATTTTATATACGTGTGAACATATTTTAAAGCACTTTTACAAATACATATGTAACTCACATATGGTACTTAAGTGGCAGCCTGATTTAGAAGCCTCTTACCTCTTTAAAAATAAGCTGAGTATATGTTCTCAAAGTTTTAGAGGAGAATTTGAAATATTTTCGAAGCTAGAAGAAAAATAGTGACCGAGCATGATACACGAGCGACTGGGAAGAAAGCGAAAACTTTGACTTGCGATTTCTCGGTTTTTCATTTTTACGAGTATTCTTAATCGGCGGCCAGGATAGAAAAAAAATAAACAAATGGCGTATACAATTGCAAAGTTTATTATCTTAGGCATTCAACTAAAAAATGTMAAGTTTGAACATATTTTAAAAAAACATAAAGTAAATTTTTTTCGTCAAAAACCACTTTTTTTCATTTTTAAGCTATTTATAAAATTWTACACTTTTTGTGATTTTTTTTTAGTTTAACTAAAATATAAATTATTCAAAAATATGAATCTATTTGCATTTTTTGTTTCCGATAGAAATTGCGACCTGCATCCTGCCCGTCGTCCGACAAATGCACATGAGCGATGCATCGCATTTGCTCCCAAAGACCGAATATCAAAGATTTCGTTTCCAAAAAAATTTGTAAATTATGCTTAAATATATTACTATAAACCTTAGAAATTTCGCTTTAATCAATTATTTTTTCCTTCTCACAAAAATCCTCAAAAAAATCGCTACTTAGAAGCCTCTAAACCAGGCTCCCCCCTTAACGACATAAGAGCACTTCTACGTAAGCGAGGGACGACAAGGAAAAATGAAAGAACTTTGCTGCTCGTACTCTAGTGGCACAACTCTAGTGGAACACAAAGCTTCTTGTTTGTAACAGCTCGTTGCGAGAAGGCTCGGTTTCAAAATAATATATACAATGTATTCCGGGTTTTGATTTTTGTTATATATTTTTGTATGTGATATGCAAATATGTGGATAAAAATAAGATACTTAAAAATACTTAACTTAAATATTTAACAATATTTAACAGTATTAAAAGTAATGATATAGTATAAAATTGAGTTTCTTTTACATTTTTACTTAGTGTGATTATCATTTTATTTAAAACAAGATATGTAGTTAATTCATGTATGTTTTGTAAGAAAAAGATGCGGTAAAAAATTTACGTATATTTAATACTTCCCGCTATATTAGGAAATTTCCTTTGTAGATTTGGCATTGAAAATATTGAGGACTGTACCGAAAAGAAACTGCACAAAATTTTTTATTTGTAACGTAACGGATTTTATTAATTTTTGCTTGTAACCTTTTTTAATAACAAATATAAAAGTTTTTATCCACTTTTAATTAAAACTAGTAAAAAAATTATTCTCTAAATTTATGCCGAATTTTTCGTTTACTTCCCTTCATTAAATTCTGCGCACCTTCTTTTTTTACGGCTCGACTTGTTTTAAGCCATTTTTTTTAATTCATTGAGGTTTTCGGCAACTCGATGATCCTTCTTCAAGTTACGTTTGTCAATTGCCCAATATTTCTCTATTGAGCGAAATTCTGGAGCGTTTGGAGGGTTCTCCTCTTTTTTAACAAAATTGACATTGTTATCCTTCAACAAATCCAATGTGGAATGAGCATAGTGCACTGTGGCTAAATCGGTCCAAAATATTGTTGACACGATGTGTTTCTTATAAAATGGTATTAGAAGACAGTTTAGATACTCCTTCTTATAATTGTCAGCCGATATAGTACCCTTTATGAAAAATGGAGTGCTCTTAAGGCCGCAAGAGCATATAGCCTGCCAGATGAGTATTTTCTCGCCAAATTTTTCTTTTTCAATTGTTGACACTGATTGGTCGACAGTACCATCTTTTGGTTTTGTATAGAATTGGGGATCTGGTAATGTTCTTGAGACCATTTTTACGTATGTTTCATAGTCTATTATAACACACTCAACAGAATCTTTAAGCAAACGATCGTACAACTTCCGTAGCCTTGTTTTCCCAAATTTTATTTGTCGTTGACTTTTTTTGGGAATCTTTTGTTTTTTATAAGTTATTTCTTTGCTTCACTCTTTGAATCATAGTAACTGGTTTTATCTTTTTTCGCCAAATCGCGCACAGACATTGATTTGTTTTAGTTTATTAAGTCCAACACCTTTGCTTCAAGATTTGGATCACTAGGTCCTTTTTTCGCCCATTTTTGATAACTCTTTAAGCGAACAGGTTTTATTGAACTTTATTATAATATTTTTTACACCATTTACACTGACTTTAAATCGTTTTGCTAGCTTTCTGTATGAAATGCTTTCTTCATTGCAGTAAATGTGCACAATTTGCCTACGCACGTGCTCTTTGATTCGCCCCATCGCAAAAATGATATTATAAATTACGGAGAAAGAAAAAACAATAGAAGCAGAACTGATCACGCTTTCTAACGGTACTTACCACAATATGATCAATCGGCTACTTCATGAGAAATATTGAATTGAAAGTGTGCAGTTTCTTTTCGGTACAGTTCCTAAAAGCGAGTATTTTGAATATTGTTTTATTATATTAATAGTAAATGATTGTAATCAAATAGGGAGACCACCAGCGTTTGAAAAGCTATAGCTGTAGCAATAGCAAAAAATGAAGTGCTGTGCTCTGCTCTGCCGTATCGGTAGCAAAAAATTGGGAGCGGTATGAGAGAGTGCTACATCAAAATTTTAATTAATATTTKGCTGCTACGGGGTAGTAAATTAAAACCCTTAAGACCACTAACTAATGTAATAATTAACTAGGCGATACGCTCTAAGTGTTGCGTAGCGTAGTGGGGTTCAGGTTTGTGAAAAAGAATGAAGAAAAAGTCGAATCGAGATACCTGCTTGAACTCACTGCAAGTAGCAAATGCCTAGGAGGCAATAATTTTACGGCGGTATTTTGCAAAAGGATTTTCACATTTTTTATTTAAATAAAATAAAATATAATTAAAAAAATACTTCAGTTATTTCATTTGCATATATAATATCACAAGAAAGTCACAGTTTCATATATTATAATACAAATTATAAACAAAAAGGGGGGTATTATTAATATTTTTAGTAATAGCACCTACTGGTTGTTGTTATAAGGTGTACGTTGATTGCGAGTACTTCGTTGATTTGCACAAAATGTCAAATATTAATGTATAGTCTATGAACGTTCGATCAGAAACGGCACAAATTTGCTTGAGAAAATAAAAGAGACAGTTAAATTATAAGGGAGAAGGGGCCAATTCGCAATGCTAAGCAAAACTTTAAAATTAGTTCTTTTCCGTCGATGAAATTTTCGATCAGTTGAAACAAGTAACTAAAACTTGTGGATTTTTTTTTATACAGATCAGATGAAAATGATTACACACAATGCCATTTTAGAACATTGAAAAAAAAAGAGAAATATCTTTAACTCACGGTGGATAGACGGATATAGATACAGCAGATTTACACAATGAAATAGAAGCTATTGGCAGAAAAACTGCTCATAAAGCCACACTACTGCACTTTTTAAATTATATTTGTTCAAACGGTTAATATATTTCGTTATTAATTTAAGACAATACCGTTGTTGTTAACACTTGTTCCTGTGTTCTTAGCTACTGGAGAGCGTAATTTCAATGCAACTAAATTTTTGTTGAAGTTTTGAGTTTCGATATTATCTATATTTATTCCACTCGTGTCGGTATTACAGATTCAACTCTGTTTTAGTGAGGTCGACTAGAGCGTAAAAAAATTTTAACTACGACCGAGAAGTTCTAATTGAAAACTGCATTTATTTGGGAACAAATGTGTCAAAGTATACGGTCAACTGACAAGTGTGTTCCTCAATTCATTTTAATTTATGTGCAATCCAGGCTGTGGAAATTCGCAGGCAGCTTCACCGGAGGCCTTTATATTGCTGACACCACGCGACACATCAATTTAACTGAAATTATTTACATTTATATCTAATGTGAACAGATACACACAGCRAATTACAGAGGATGCCTGGTATATCAAAAATTAATTAAAAGAAATAATGTTAAAAATAATAGGGAACGGGAAACTCAAGTTAAAGACAACAACACAAATCTGTCATATGCAGATGTTACCCGATCTCAGTTCACTAATAACGACAAT